CTATGGAGGTTCATCCCCCATATGTTGATGGTTTAGGTTGAGCATTGACTTGTCTTATGGTGCAGGCCTTTCTTGGACATTCGATTCAGGGCTTGGATTAACTTCAGCCTAATCCTACAAGGATCATCTTCTGTTATCACTGATAACAGGTCGGTTGCCGATTCGTCGGTTTACGATTCAACTCCAATTCACCCCTGCCACTCAACCTAAAGGCTCTAGCCTTGTGATTTAAACTGTTTTGTTGTGTTTTCACCCGGACTTTATTGAATGGTCATCCAACAAAAGTACTGAGTATTTATTTAAGAGTTGCACGAGTGGGGAGGGGTATGAGTGCAAGGAATGGTTGAAGTTGACCCCGTGTAGTGTGTGGGTTTTCGGTTGAATTTTTGATGTGATTGCAGGTGCGTTTGTGGTTCAGACTCTGGATGTGATTGCCTGCGATTACATACATATATGGCTGAGAGGAACCTCACTGTGATTGTGAGAAGTGATCGTCCTATATAATTAACCATTATATATTTACAAGTACCCTGAGTATTTGAAAGACCTATTGTAGTTGTGCATAAGGGTTAACCAGATTATGTCTTGAGAGAAAAGGGGGATTCCCTTTTTACCCTTGTTTTTTAGAGTTTGTATGGTTGGACGTTGTAGTCCGTGGCAGCCGTCAAAGTGAAACCCCTTGACTTCTGCCCAGGCCTGGAGTGAAGCTCATCTCCAGGGCAGTAAGAAGCGACTGCCACCACAGGTATGGACCTGTGTACCACGCACTCTGCACAGAGTGCACAAGAGGGTGTGTGGTCTTCAACCGCGCTTGGCGGTTGTCCAGCGTCGAGAGATTAACCCTCAAGGCGAGTGTCAGCCGACACTTGAGTGTCGAATGCGACCCTCGAGATTAACGAGGACCGCATGAGTATGGGTACTACATGGTACGCCATCATTGCGACCGCTTGCGTGCACTTGCATTGTGAGTCGATATAAGTAGGCCCTGCGTCCGCGCGGTTTTATACTAAGTCTCACGCGCGACGCCCATTTGATTTCCGCATCGAAAAGTTATGGGTTGGCTACCGAGGGGTTAAGAGTGTTGTCACGTTGTTTGTGTTGTGTCGTGTTGTATGTGTGTGTGTGTGTGTGTTTTATTTTTGTGTTCGTGAAGTATTGTGCGCGTGGTGTGTGGGATGCGTCCTAGTCGACCGACGACGAGCTGCGCTTGGGACTTCAGCCCCCCAGAGATGTCGGTTCGCGTGCGGGCCCGATAGGCGTATTATCGGTCGTACCCCCTATGCTACAGCGAACGAGAAACGCCCTCGGCCACCTCTGCGATTGAAACTGATCAGCTTTCGTACTGTGGACTGGTAGCTCGGCGGGGATACGCCCACCGAAGGTAGGTGACAACTCTCATAAGGTGGAGGTAAGTTGTGCCTCGTGTAGGCCCTATCCTGTCGTAGGGGTTCGCGAGAGGTATGGCTGGCGCACTCGGCCGGAGCGGCTTGCGGAAACTCCATGTATATTCGCGACGAAGTATTTAAAACCAACTCCTGCGTGACGTGGTCAGGAGGGTCCCGCGCTGCCTCGTGCAGTGCCGGACCGATGCGCTCGACAGGTGCCTGCGGGTCTGCACGCCTGTCTGAGTGCTTGTCGGCTCGAGCGTGTGTGTGACCCGCAAGGGTACTTGGTTTGGATGTCCCGCAGGGTCGCTACTTATCCGTGGCCGTGACTTCGAGGGTTGCAGCGGGAAAAAACACTCAAGTAGTCGGTAGGCCCGCAACACTTAGAACAGCGGGGAAAAACACTCAAGTAGCAGGTAGGCCGGTACCACTCAAGTGGTAGGGGTGTCGGGTACTGGAGGCCGAGCAGAAGAAGACAAAAAGTTGGCATTTTTAGAGGCCCAGTAATGGTAGGTTAGAGGTAGGCCGGTACCAGTCCAAGTAGCCTGAGTCTAGGCCCTAGGGCCTGTACGGACGGTATCAGGGCCTGCAATGATTTTTCCCTCTGAAAGGGAGGAGGTACCGGTTGTTGGGAGGCCAAGCGAGGAAGTCACCGGCCAAGAGGCAAGTAGGCCACTATATCTTCGGGAGGAGCAAGTTGCTCCTCCTCATTTGCAGTGTGCAAGGATTGGAGACATACTGCTAGAGCCAAGTGCTGCACTTGGAGTGCTGCCTGGAGGAGGAGAGCAACCTGGCTATGGCAAGCAGCCTGAGGAGGAGGAAGCAGGGGGCGAAGGAGGAGAGTGACGAGGTACCTACCTGCCTATGGTGGACACCATCTTCATCACCTTGATAGGCGCTGCATCTGGAAGGCTGGGTTGGGGTAGTGCCGCACCAAGGGAGCTCGAGGCAGAGTCAGGCATGGTGGCCTGATGCGCAACAACGTACCTGCTTTGTGTTGTCCTTTGCAGAAGAGGACAGAGCCCTTAGTTGTTACGGACTACACCAGGGCCCGATCCCTGGTCCGCGGGATGCCTCCCGCAGTTTGCTGCATATATTTCTTTCTTTTTGTTTTTCGTATTTTGCTTTTGCTTTTCTGATTTCAAACACTTGGCCCCATCAACATTCCAGCGCTTGTTCCCAAACTCCTCCTTTTGGACTTTCAGATTTCGGACACTTGGCGCCATCCAGCATTCTGGTGCCCATTTTCGGACTTTCAATTTTCAGTTCAGTCCTGGGCAAATTGCATTCGTGCCCCTCCGGACTGAACGTGAGTCTGGTACTTAAGACCGGACTGAAGCCCAGCACGGGCACTCAGTTTTCGGCCTCAGTGCTGCTCAGTGTGACTTGCTCCTGTTTCGACATTCGGAATCCAAGACTTCGACTTTGTGTCTTTGCCACTGTGTCTGCGTCCGACCCTCAGTCGTGTCGAGTGAGTGAGTGTGTGTGTGTGCTTTCCCTCTCTCCCTCTCTTTCTCCTCTCCCTCGGCTCTCCCTGTCTCCCTCAGCCTCGCGCTCTTTACACTGGTATCGGAGCGGTTCAATCCCGCCCGACCCCCCCTGCCTGCTACCTGGACATCATCAGCATCATCGTCATCATCACCGTCATCGTCGAGATCTTCGTCGTCGTCGTCATTGCCGATGTCGCAATGCCACATCATCATCGCCGTGATCGTCGTCCTCGTCGCCGCGCCGTGCAATCCTCGCCATCGTCGTCGTCATTTCCACGCAGATAAGTAATCGGCGACAATTTATTTTTTCTTTTTTTTTATCTTCTTCTTCTTATTATTATTTTCTTCCTCTTCTTCTTCTTCTTCTTCCATTTACTTCTTCTTTGGGGCTCGTTCGACACTCCTTGGGGCGTCCTCGGGGCCCGAGGAAAAATTCCTTTCAGTCAAAAGGAAATTTGGGCCCTTCGTTCCACCTATCCTCGGGGACGTCGCCCGGGGACGTTTCCTTGGAGCTATGTCAGAAAAGAATAAAGAAAAAAAAAGAGGAAACAAATGTGCTTAAGGCCTTCAGCCAATAGGGTGCCGCCACGATCCAGATTCTCGGTTGTAACGTCTCTCTAGGCGTGTGCCCGCTCCTCTCTGTGAAATGCGGATTCCTTTTGCCCAAGGGACCTCGTGAGGTCCCTTGGGCAAAAGGGAGAAATGGTTGGGGAATCCTCGGAGCCCGAGGAATTTCCTTCGGAGTGTTTTCACTTTTTTTTTTGTCGACTGCAACCCCGAGGATAAGTGGAACGAACAATTCCTTGGGGACTTTACGCGCCCGAGGAGTGTCGAAC